ACTGATGGTTGCTAGTTGGGAGGGGGGTGGGGATGAGGGAGAAGGGGGAAGGGATGAGACAACATAAATTGGTAACTACAATATAGCCTCAGGGATAGAAAAGACAGTCTGGGGAATATAATCAATAATGTTGTAAATATTTTTTAGGAGGCCAGATGGACTCATGTCTTGTTAGGGAGACCACTTCATAGACGGTGTAGAGGCCCGACCACTGCACTGTACATCTGAAGCTGCCATTGAATAATATTATATGTCAACTATAATTTAATACATATATAGTCATGGGATGTGGAGTATAGTGTGGGAATGGAGTCAATGGAATTGTAATAAATATGTATGATATCAGGGTGGGAGAGCCATGGGTGGGGGGATGGACGTTGTCACTTTGTGAGAAGTGAAAAGGATAACTGTTGCATTGTTTTGTACACCTAAAACTAATAATAATAAAAAAAAGTGTGGTCTCTCAATGTAATTTTAAGAATAATACTTTAAATACATGTTAACATTCCCTTACGTAAGAACTGTATGGGAGTGTGTGTGTGTGTGTGTGTGTGTGTGTGTGTGTGTGTGTGTGTTTAAATCTTCACACCTCACTTCTGGACAAGTCAAGGTTTCAAAAGCAGAACTGTCTCTGTGAAATCATGCCGAGTCATAAGCTGTTTTCTGCCTTGCTGCCCTCGCATCATTCCATTGATCAAAAAGTCCTTTCTGATATCTCACACACACCCCTCTTTCTTTCTTCTCCTCTCTAGGCCCCAGCTAGCTTTCAGAGTAGTTCACCATAACACATTACTCCTGGCTAGTTAGTTGGAGTAATGCATTATGGTGACTCATTTAAAGTGATTAGGTCCTGGAGTATTAGGGTGAGAAGAGACATTGGTGGGTCCTCTGAGCCAAGGCCTTCATTGTATGCACAAAGGCTCAGGGACCTAATGCCTCAGTCTTCAGTGGTGACACGTCAGGACAGACTCTGAGAGTGCTGTTTGGAGGTCTCTCGATGCTTTCCCAGAGGCCAGGAGAGCAACCCACATGGACAACCCTAATGTTGGGGATCAGTCCTTGAGATCCTGGCACCACTCTACCCTTTGCCTTGCCTTTCTCCCCTCAATCTCCTGCCCCCGAATCTACCTCTCTAAATGGGCCTGGTCCGGTGGGGCCTACCTTTGATAATGGCCATGCAGGAAGGCCATTTCAGACTGCTGGCAGGGGTGGGTGAATATTTCCACTTGGAGAGGATGGCCTGAACTTAAATCATCATTGTCAAGAACAAACACTTTTGATGATGCTTTTAAGTGACAGTCTAAGTTACGGCTAATTTTTTGTTTCAGAGGGACCAAGAGCTGGAAAGGCAGCTATTGTCAGCACGAGTTAGAATGTATTGGCATACCCATCATTCCTTTCTTCCCTGATTTATACACACATGTGATTCACCACCTAAACCCTACAAAGGAGTCTTATGGTTCTAAAGATCAAGTTCAGATCTACAAAGGGCCCCAAGATCAGATCTTGCTTACCTCTCTGGCCTTACATTCCACTGGCCCCTCTTTATGTGCACCCAGCCATCTTGTCTTCTTTTTCTAGGGGTCTTTCCCTGATCCCTCAGTTCCTAACCAGGACCCCTATTCTCAGCCTAGTTATGCACTCTCTTGCCAATTTGCAGTCTCTGCAGGATTTATACAATGGTAGTCAAGCAATTAACTAGTTGACATTCCTGAATGTCAGCTCCCAGACAATAGGGACCATCTCTGTCTTATTCCCGAGACCTAAGGACTGTGCCTTGTATATATGATGGGCACGAAATATTTGTTTGAGTGAATTATAGGAGCCATGGGGGCAGAATATCTGGACAGCCACACTGAATATGGGGATGGGTTTGGCCCAGCTAACTAGTTCTGGGAGCCAGAGAGACACGGCCTGGGTGAGTGGTGGTGGCAGTCAGAGGATAGTCTTGCAGGCCAACTTGGGAGAGCAGGCTCAGCCACGGAGCATTCCACAACAAGACCTCGGACAGTCCTGCTGGCCAGGCTCCTCCAGTGCTGAGCAGAGAGAGAGCACTCTTGGATTTGGCTTACAGGTTCCATGTTTTTCTGAGCAATACAAGTTAGGAAGGAAAAAACAGTTTAGGAGGAAACACAATGTTCATTTATTCCTTGATTGTCTAGGAAATCCTTGTAAGGAACAGGACAATTTCGAGTAACCAAACTCATTATCCACACTGCACAGCCCAAAAGGGACCCTGGTCTTCAGAAGGCATTAGAACAGCCGTGCAGGAATGTGTGGCTCCTGCTGGAAGAACTCTGTCTGCTAGCTTTGGAGTCAGAAGGACTTGGGTTCAAATCTCTGTGTTTCCACTTGCTAGCTGTGTAAACTCAGGCAGGTGACTTAACCTCTCCTTACACTTCAATATCCCATTTTTTGTAAAGTGGGCAGAATTATTGGGTCACGGAGAGTAATTAACAGACCATAAGTGAAGCGTCTGATCTAGAGGAGGCACTATAAGTAAAGAATAGTTAAAACAAATGATGGCTTATACTCTGTTAGCTCCTGGAGGGACCTTTGGCTCCAAACACTGTGGATTTTGACACTTCTTTTTACGAGGGGTTGGTTATATAACAGCCCATTGTAAGGCAGACTTTTACATAGTTGTTAGGAAGTTTCCTTTCCTTTTTTTTCAATAACCAACTGTTCGGTCCCATTGAATCCAATTGCAGCACTGATTCAGAAACTTTATGGTTAGAATTATCTCCACAATTAATACTGTCTTGGTTGGGTGGGAAGGGAGGCCAACCCTGTTTTGCTGTCCTAGAGACCACAGGAAGTGCTGGGCTCAGGTGTGGAGTCCCGTTACCAGGTAATGTTACGAAGAACACACACGGAGACGTGCATTCCTGAGCGGTGAACACGGGGCATTTTTGTTTGTCCGTTCCTTATAAGGAAAGAGTTATCATCAGTCCAACAGAAAGGTCATAGCTCTTTCTCTCTCCTCAAGTGGCTGAAATCAGCTTTGTTCCTCAGAAGGGTGGGGCAGTGATTAAGCAGGATAAATATGCCAGCTCTTTGGATATCCAATTATGAGGATGTTGACAAACCCTTACAACAGAGCTGGATTTTTCGGGTTTTGTCTAGTCCTAGGGACTCTCAGAAAATGTATTTGGAAGCCTCCCCTTTCCCTTAGAGGCCAGTCGGCCTGAAGATCCACTTTTGCAGTAAGGTAACCAGTTGCAAAAGTTGGCCTGATGGGAGAAGTTGAAGCAGTGTTTTTACCCTCACCACTAGCTATTTGTTCTTTTCTTCCCTTTCCCTTTACTGGTAACCTTCTGCATTGACGCGTGGAGCAGATGGTTGCTGGGAGGCTCAGGGGACCCAGAAAGGGACAGGTGATGCTTCTTCTCCTCTCAGAAGGATTAGCTCTTTAGACCTCACAGAAGCAAGGACGCAAAGCAACCAACTTGGGATCTCCAAAGCCCGAGCCTCACATTGTCATTGAAGCCTCCATCCTGCCCATCTCTCTCCTGTCCTCATGACTCCCATCACACCATCTTGCACCCAGTGTACAGTCTGAAACTCGCTTCTCCATGGTCTGGTGGTGTTTTCCTGGGCACAGTGGTCTGCCCTCCCCAATAAGATCACAGATTCCTCATAGGCAGGGAGACGGCTTCCACTTCACCTGTGAACATGAGGGCCCAGCCCAAGTGCTGGCCATTAAACGGGTGCCCAGTGAAAGCTGGTTGACAGCTTGATGGAAAATTGATTAGGTTACATTGTCCAAAAAGCCTGGATAATCCCCCTCCTTTCCATGTTCTGTTGAGAAAGAGCCCAAGGTACTGAGAGCTGGTTATCTGAAGGCATTTAGGTCTGTACCTCCCACTTGTTCATAGTTGTCCCTGGAGCCAACCAGGCCCACGAATTCCACTCTCCCTTCTCCCTTCTAGGTGGCCATGTTTTAAATCCACTTTTCAGATCCTCCTCCAGTCCCATGTGAATGAGCCCCACTGTGTGCCCAGCACTGAGCTCAGACATGAGTGTAAAGGAAGCAGAGCTACTGCCCTGCCCCGGGAGCTTCTGTGTAGTTCAAGAGTGAAAACACACACCAAGATGCCATATTTCATCCATCCACCCATGTGCCTTTTTCCTAAAACAAAAGCAAAAGCTTTAAAGTTTTGATCATCTATCCAATTTCCTGCTATTACTTTCCACAGTTGGGAGTCTGGTAACTAGGACCACCTTCTCAATGTCCCCTTTGTGGTTCCCTGACATCTTTCATAGACTTCCTTGTCTTTTTATGAGTTTTACTGTCAATTGCAATAATAGTAAAGAAAACAGGCACAAGGAAGTTACAAAGTTCCCCCACATCTTTTCTTTACCCCTGCTGGTAGAAGGCAAATTGGCACAGGTTTTCCGGACAGGGAATTGGCAATATTGCCTTTCAAAGTTCATGTGCTTGGCTCTTCCTGCTCCCTCAGGTCCTTCTTAACCTGAGAGGGCAGAGCCAGCATGGGGTGGAGGCGGCTGAGGTGGGTACCCATGTGGGGAGCTATCCCCCCAGGTGGTGCACTGGCCGTGAGTGCAGCCTGACCCGGAGTCCAGGGGTGCTCTAAAATGCCAGGCACCCATCATCTGTGCCAGGGTTGGGCTGAATGCTAGTATTTGAGAGATTGTGGCATCTAAACCCACAATGTAATAAAACGGAACTTTTGTAATTATATTAAGGACCACTCCATTGATGCACGTGGAAAAAGGATCTCTAATTTCACTAATAAGAGCATGAAGGAGGTTAAGAGATCTCCAAAAACGGTTGGCTGCTTACATAAATAGGCTAGTTGGACAAGCTGCAAAATATCCAAACTACATAAGGTGATCGACGGCATAAAGTTTACAGACACGCACTTGCCCCAGCATAACTCTGCGTCGCCCCCATCTCCTGTGCACCCTCCTCCCAGTCGGCCCCTCTCTGGTCTCTCTCCAAGTGATATACAAGTCACAAGGGCATGAATACCTACCTGTGTCTTTTCTCTGTCTGTGGTCCGGTCCTTTGGCTTTGCCAGTTGTGAACTTACGAATTGTTGGGGGGACTGTCTTCCCCATCACTTGGCTCTTAGGAGACCCACTAGACTGTGGGGGGGAGAAGAAGATAGAAGGTGGGGCAGCGCTGAGGGCTCCTGGGGGCTCCCACCAGCAGCTCTGACCCTTGGCTAGTTGTGTAGGAAAAAGTGCCAGTGAGCCGCTGGGCCAGTGGAAAGAGCTCTGCTGGCATTGCTGTCAGAAAAACTGGATCGAATCCCAGCTCTGCCACGTGCCTGTGGGCAATACAACTGGCCTTTCTGAGGATGGCTTCAAAGGTCCTAGGAGATACGTGTAGAAAAGCACATTGTGAACCATTAAGACCTAAGTACATGCCAGGTGTTATTGCCCAGAAAGGGACAGGAATCAAGTGGACAGAAGAGAATAGCCATAGGATTCTTGTCTGCTTTATTCACTGTTTAATCCCCTACACCTAGAATGTTCCCTGACACACAGTTGGCACTCAGTAAAAGCTTTTAAATGAATGAACAAATTACCTATGGGTCCTTGGTGATTCATCCCCTCTATCTTAACCTTTAACATTAAGGCTTATCTTCTAAGAAAGCAGGTGATATGAAAAATTTAAAAAGGCACAGAAAGATGATGGTTTCTTGCTGTGTGAATTTGGGCTAATTTTTCATCACCCTGGGCCTCAGTTTCCACATCTATTAAGTAGGTATAATAATTTGATCTACAGTCTTCATCCCAGGGGTAGTGTGAACAGCAAATGAGGGTGCATAGATTTAAAGGCTTTCATACGATGCTTCTTAACTGTGACATGTTTGATTATAGCAGCCCAGATGGGGACCCTTAAAGGACCCCTGTAGATCCTCACCTAGGTTCCAATGGGAAGTCAGTCTCAGAGATGAAGAAAAGTCCTTCATTTATGAGAAGTTTCCTGTGCTAAAATGAGCCAAGTTGTCTGTGTGGGTAGAAAGTTGGTAAGAAGCTGAATTCCTGATTTGCTTCCAATCTCTTCTAAAGTTCCATTTAAGGAAAAGGAAACACCCCCACACAGGAGCAGTTTACAAAGCCTTAAGAAACCACTAACTCTCTGCACTTATCTAACAAATGGACTGGTTCCTGACTCAGCCTGCTCAAGTCAGAAGCCCTGCAAGAATGCAGTGAGCTCCCTAAACAGATACGCAATATCTTTTCTGAAAGGCAGCACTGAACTCCAATAGGCACAGCAGCTTGGAAACAACCCTCAGGGCACAAAGATGCTTGGAGTAACTGCTTCCCCATTACGCATATCAGATTTTCCCAGTGACCCCTCCTCCTTCTTACTATCACCATCCCCTTCCCTCCCCCCCAAAACTCCCGCTTTGTTTGCTGGTTGGACCTGAAGTCTCTCTGATGAGGGCAAAGTTTTTTTATTGATGGTTAGAGATACAGCCCAAATGGACATACATATCCCCAGGACACAGCTTAAATTCCTACCAAGCTGTCACCTGACATTCCTGAGAGGAGAGTAAAGTGAGAGGGGAGAGCATGGAGTAGTGACCTGGAGGAGAGCAAAGGACCCGGAAAGGGAAACTTGGGGACAAACACAAACTTGACCTACTTTAGAATTGGGTCAAGGGTCAGCTCTGGACCACAGGAACTGAAGCACATATCCGCCCTTGACCTCCACCTCAACACAGAGCACTTTCCATCATAATCTGCTCCTTGAACCCAAAGAGATAGAAAGAAGGTCTGCAAGAAAACACACACCCTAATTTGCCTTTTGTCTGTGAAGGCCAAGAACGGATGGTTCGCAGCGTGCTATGCTGAGCAGAGCCATGAACTATGCAGGCAAACCACTTTACCTCTCCAGGCCTTAGTTTCCTTTCTGTAAAATGAGGCGGTTAAACTGGAAATGCTCTAAGTGCCTTTCTAGCTCTGCTGCTCCTAAGTTCCCCAGGTCACCTGTCTCTGTTTTGAGTCAGTAGAACATCGGGGATTCTTTCCTTTGCCCTCCTGGAGTGAATAGAGAGCCAGGAGGATACTTGATAGGATCCTTTGAGGTACTCCCTCTGTGTAACTGATTACACCAGAGTTGTAGGAAGCCTCAGGCCTCTCTGGGTTCTTGGTCTTTGCTGCTTACTAGCTGTGTGTAACCTTGGAAAAACCTTTACACCTCTGCTCCTCTATTGCTATAAGTGAGCAATAGCTTCTGCCTGGCAGACTCAGTGAAAAGTCAGAGTTGATGTCTTTCTTTCTTTTTTTTTTAGAATAATTCCTGGCTTATCACAAGAGTTCGCTAGTCATCGGCTCCCTTCCTTCCGTCTTCCTTTCAGAGTAATACTGGCCTGGATGTGTTAGGAAGAGGTAAGCTCAAGGACTGCTGCATAGACGTATCAGTTGAGCCATAGGCTAAGCTGCTGTAACAAAGAGACCCCAACATACAGTGGCCCAAATGTATTCAAATTTAATTTCTATTGTATGAACAGAGGTAATAAGATAGAGGTAGGAGGTTGGTGAGCCGCTCTCCTCTATGAGACCCCCAATTATCTATATCCTGCTCTTCTTCAAGACCAGCTCAGAGCTCTCCTCCTTTGGAGGCCCCAGATCCCTCTTATCCACAGGAATCACACATGGTCAGCTTCCCTCAGTGGACACTCAGCACACAATGCCTTGCAGTGCTAGATAACTTGACAAGGGAGAAAGTTGTGACTCCTCCACCAGATTGGGAGCTACTTGAGATCAGGAGTCATAGCTTCTTGACCTTTATCTCCCCAAATCCCACTTAGGCTCAGAAAACTGCCTAGCATGCTGCTGGGCACATGGTAGGCTCTCAAGGAGGGTTTGATGCCAAGTGAATACAGTCCTGAGAACTTCAGCCAGCCACAATCATGAAAGCTGAGGTGTTTTCTTAGTCATCACCATCTTACATATTTCTCAGCTTAATTGCCATGCAATTTCTTCATATCATCTAATAAATGAAAGGAAAATATGTGTATCTTTGGAGAGTGTGTGTGAAAATGAACTCTTATGAAAATCCTTGGCTCACTACAAAAATTCAAGACATGTGCTTCTTATATGGGAATACAAGGAAATACAGATTTTCCCATCATGCGCAAGTTAAGAGCTCTTGGATGGAAGTGCTGACTGTGATGCTTGGTGGAGTGAATATTTGTATTACTGTAAATTTTATCGAATCAAAATCTTACTGCAATCACTAGTTTTGGTAACTGCCCCAATTTAACTGGCTAGCATTCCAAAATACCAATGTTAATTCATCATCTACCTCGGTGTTTATTTCACAACTGTGCACTGAAGGGAAAACCACACTGCTCCAGCAAGCTGGTCATGGGAGCTCTACTGAGATATTTTATAGATGGTTAATGGAATGAGGACAGATTTTTTTTGTCACCTGCTTGAAATTTTTCATACTAACATTTCTGTGGCCATTCTCGGTGTTAGAACTAACTCCAAATTGTTTCTTTCTAAAAAAATAATTTTTAATGTTTTAATTATAGTTGACATACGTTATATTTCCTATGCTATACTTTACATCTCCATGACTATTTTGTAACTTTAAATTTGTACTTCTTTTTTTTTTAAGTTTTCTTTTTCTTTTTTAAATTTTTTTATATTAGTTTCAGGTGTACAAAACAACATAGTGATTAGACATTTACACCCCTCACAAAGTGATAATCCTCCCCCAGTCGACTACCCCTCTGACATTGTATAGAGCTATTGCAATACCATTGACTATATTCCCTAGGCTATACTTAACACCAGTTGAGAAAGGGCCATATTCTGGGTCTATTTTATAAGAAGAGCTAAGAGGACTTGTTGACAGAGGAAATGTGGGTATGAAAGAAAGGGAGGACTCAAGGATGACCGCAAGGTTTTTGGAAGGCTAGAGCTGTCTTGCACTACATGTTCTCCCAGGAGTAGCCTATGAAACAGTAGATTAAAACATGCTAATCTTGAGGGGCCTGTTAGACAGCAACTGGGGGTGAGTGAGCTGGACTTCCGGGCAGATATCCCCGCTGTGCGTAAACAAGTTGGTGGTACTTGTGGCCATGACACTGGAGGAGAGGACCACAGGGGTGCGTGTGGGTAGAGAAGAAATGCAAGGACGGAGCTCTGGGACACTACAAAACTAAGGGTTCATCTAAGCATCTTACCCTCATTTTGTAAAACCTAACCTCCTAGGCTGGTATGTAACAAATTTTGTTTTCATTTCTATAATCCTCCTTCTTTCTCTTTAGAATGAGTCAAATATAGTTAAAATTAGTGCTGTCATCGCATCATTCATTTAAGAAATATTTATTGGGGGCCGGCCGAGTGGCTCAGCTGGTTAAGAGCTCATTTGGGAGCACCAGCTCTGAGCAGCAGGGCTGCGGTTCGGATCCCACATTGAGGGCCAGTGACACTGCCCTCTACAGCTAAGATGATGAACAACAGCTCGACCTGGAGCTGGGCTGCCGTGAGTCGCCAGCGATGGCATAGGCTGCAGCCCCTGCTGCAGTGGGCTGCCGGGAGCTATGTGAATGGCTGGCAGCCAGCGTGAGTGTCCGGCAGCCGGTGTGAGCAACCGATCAATGACCGGCAACCGATTGCCTCACCCGGGAAGAGCGCAATGATCATACCAACATGGGCCAGTGAAGCAACGTCTTCCACAACTAGACTGAAGAACAAAAAGGACAGCAACTTGTCTGTTCCCCTTCCCTGATTCCCCAACGCTGCTCCTCTCCCCCCCAATTCCCCAATAAAATCTTAAAAAAAAAAAAGAAAGAAATATTTATTGGGAGTCAATTGTGTGTCAGGCATTAGGAGCTGGGGAGAATCACGCAAAGTCTCTGAGCTTGTGAAGCTTGTGCTGCAGTTGAGGGGCTAGGACGGTAGTTGACATGTAACTAAACACACGGTTAAAATAACTTCATATTGTAACAGGTGCAATGAAGAAACTAGAACAGATAAAGGAGGCGAGAGTAACTCAGGACAAGAGCGGTGGCTTCACTGAGGACGTGCTATTGGAACTAACCCCACAGGGAGAAGAAGGAGCCACGCCCTGTTCCAGAGGAAAAGCGTCCCAGGCCACGGGAGCAGCAAGAGCAGAGACCTGAGATGGGAACAAGCCTGGCATGTGGTGCTGACAGAAAATAGGCTGGCGGGTGTGGTTGGAACACAGTGAAAGGGGGTGTGGTGTAGGAGGCAAGGCCAGAGGGGTGGGAGGGAGCAGCTCTTGTTAAGACTCGCCTGCATGGCAAGAACTTTGCGTGTTATTTTTAGTGCACTGGGAAGTCACTGCAGATTTCCTCGCAGGGGAAAGACCTCATGTGATTTATCCTGACTACTGAGTGTCACGTGGCCTGTAAAGGATAAGGTGTTGCAGAGAATGAGGAGTGAGATGATGGGGCCTGGACGAAGGCTTTGCTGATGGACTGAATGAAGGAAAAGTCAAAGTTGACTCCTGGGTTGTGGCTAAAGCAACTGGATGGATGTTGACACTGTTTACAAGTCGGGCCAAACTGGAAAGGGGCAGGTTTTAGGGAGACATTGAGTTCCACTCTGACTGTATTAAATTTGAGATGCCTATTAGTCACTTTGCGATCCTGCGTGTTTTCTACAAAGAAAATCACTCACTCATTTAATTAATACTTGTTGAATGGGTGAATGCAGCACTTCTTAGATGAGGGATGCCAGACTCGGAGTTAAAGAGTGGCAATTCAGAATGATGACGCTAACATCATAGGAAGCAGTTTCACTGATGTTATCATGACCAGTCATCTTAGCCACCTGCAGAGACCCGGGGCTGGAAAAGATGACCTCTTCTACAGGTGATTGTCTGAGGCTGGGAGAGACTGCCTGTGCCCACACCCAGGGGCAGATCCAGGCTCTGTACCTTTGCGTTTTCCACCATCCCACACCAAGCTCTTGTCAGCATGCTGCAGGCTCCTGAGAGAGCTATCTTGGAAGATCCCCACGTGACAACGAAACCAAGTGTGGCCCTTGGGGCTGTGGTGACTCTAACCAGCCAAAAGTTGTGGGACCAGTTCCAGCTGAAAGTGGCCTGGGCCACCACCAGTAGGCAGCCCAAAGCTGGCCAGGACTTCCAAAAAGACGGGTTGAGCTCTGTGACAAGAGCAGTGACACCCACACACAAGGTTCCTCTCCTTGCCCTGGTGAGTCAGAAGCACTGCGGGGGAAGGTTGGCCCAGGCTTTGGAATGAAACTTGGGCCAGGTTTCTCCTGCAGGAGACAGGCTTCTATCTGGGTGGTTGGGTTCCCTGGAGTCAATTCATGGGGAGGCAGGAGGAAGCGGCGTGGCCCCTTTTCCAAGGGCGTATGCATTTCACATCCCTGTTTCCAAACTTATAACCTCAAAACCCACTTGGCACATTCTTTTTAAGAAAATTTACTTTTGTAGATTCAAAGGGAGAATTACAGATATTTATTTTTGCAGATGCAAGTAATGTATTAAATAACCATAATAGTGAGTCTCAAACTTAAGCATAAGAATCAGTGAGAAGAGGTGGTCTCTTAGTCACTTTGGTATTTAGCTATAACAAAATACTGCAGACCTAGTAGCTTATCAGGGCTGTACATTTATTTCTCACAGTTCTGGAAGCTGGGAAGTCCAAGATCAAGGCATCAGCAGGGTCACATTCTGGTGAGAGTCCTCTTCCTGGTTCATATAGCTGGCACCTTCTTTCTGTGTGCTCACGTGGTGGAAGGGGTTCAGGGGTTCCTCTGGAACCTCTTTTATGAGGGCACTAATCCCATTTATGAGGGCTCCACCCTCTTGACCTAAGCACCTCGCAAAGGCCTCACATCCTAATACCATCATTTTGGGGGCTAAGATTTCAACATAGGAATCTGAAGGGACACAAACATTCAAACCATAGCAAACAGCATTGTGCAATGGTTAAGAGCTTGAACTCTGAAGCCAGACTGCCTGTGTTTCACTCTGGGCTCTACTGCTTACTAGTTATGTGCTTTGGGGAAAGTTTCTTAATCTCTCAGTACCTCCGTTTATTCATTTGTAAAATGGGATAATAATAGTACCCAATCACAGATTGTGCTGAGAATTAAATGAACCAATTAACGTAAAGCACTTGGTGTAGTGCCTGCACGTAGTATTCTATAGGTGAATGTTATTATTACTAATACTAGTATTATTTTTTTAGTTGGGTGACTTGTTTAAAAAATGCCAAGTCCAGAGTCATATACATAGAATTTCTGTCAATGGGCCCAGAGTGGAACCCAAGAATTTTTCACGAACGCTACAAGAGATTTTGGATGCAATTGGACTAAACCGCCACTTTGAGAAACCCTGGACTCTAAGGCATAGATGGGCATCCAGGAACAAGACAAGGTAGGAGGTACTATAGGGAGAAAAATAGGAGTAAAGAATAGTGTACACCTCCCTGATTCACAATTTCATTCTCTTCAGAGTGGCTTGTCTAGAATGGAATCCAATGAGCTCTTGCAATGGATACAAAGATGGTTTCCAAAGAGAGTAGCTTAACAATACTATTGACTTCTTTCATATTGTTTTATTTTTATATATCTCCTTCTGCTAGATTCTTTTATTGAGATATAATTCACATACCATCAAATTCAACCTTTTAAAGTGTATAATTCAGTGGTTTTTAGCATATTGGCAAAGTTGTACAATCACCAGGATCTAATTCCAGAATATTTTTCATCACCAGCCATCCATAAAAAATAAAAAAAATGTACCCAATAGCAGGCACTCCCCATCCTTCCCTCCCCACCAGCCCCTGGCAACCACTAGTCTACTTTCTGTGTCTATGGATTTGCCTCTTCTGGACATTTTATATAAATGCAATCTCACAATATATGGTCTCTTGTGATTGGCTTCTTTCACTTAGCATGCATTCAAGGTTCATCCAGGTTATAGCATGTATCAATACATTTTTTCTTTTATGGCTAAATAATATTCCATTGTATGAGTATATCATGTTTTGTTTATCCATTCATCAGTTAATAGACATTTGGATTGTTTTCACTTTTTTTTGGCTATAATGAATCATGTTGTTTGTATACATATATTTGTGTAGACAGATGTTTTCATTTCTCTCGAATGTATATACCTAGGAGTAAAATTGCTCAGTCATGTGATAACTCAATGTCAAACTTTTTGAAGATTTGTTTTCCAAAGCACCTGTACCATAATACACTCCCACCAGCAATGTATGAGAGTTTCAATTTCACTAAATCCTCACCAACAGTTGTTATTGTCTGTGTTATCTATCTTTTAATTTTAGCCATCCCCATGTGTGTGAAGTGGTATCTCACTGTGATTTTGATTAGTATTTTCCTAATGACTAATAATGTTGAGCATCTTTTCATTTGTCAGTGTCTAGCCGTCTAGTGTTTGGGGTCCTGAGGCTTGGACGCTAGGACAAGATTGTATTGAGAACATGTTGTTAATTTCTTCCCATCAATTCTAAAGAGGTGCATGTTTTATTAGGATATTAGCAAATATCTAGGCCCTTTTTACAACAGATGTAGTTTTTGCCTGAGAGCCTGGCAAAGAAAATTAACTTAAAATTAAAAAAAATTATTTCACAAATTAAATGAATAGTTGAAGACAACAAGTAAACTAATAGCAATAAGCTATAAGAGACACTCCATTGGAAGAAATGTTATTATTTAAGTACTTGCTTGAAAGATATTTATTTTCAATGAAACCCACTGACCCCTCTAATCCTCCTATGCTGGGCAGGCCAGTGCCACTGCTCCAGACACCCAGTGATCCTGTAATATGCTGCAGGGAAGAAAAAAAAGTCCCTCTACCTTTCTAGGATCTTCTGACTGGTCTAATAATCGAATTGACATAAGACATATGTCAATTATGTTAACATAAGGTTAACAGGAGAAAAAGCAAATTTAATTACATCCGTATGGGGGCGTCATAAGAATGAGACCCATATGCAGTCAGGCCAAAAAAAGACGCATGCCATCCTGAGCTAAGGAGAAGAGGTTAGGGGTCCGGGCTTCAAAGGGGAGGAAGACAGTTCACAGGAAGCTAGGAAGAGCAACTGTTTTCAGAGACAGTGGGACACAGAGAGGACGCTGATCTCCAGGCCCTGCGGCGCTCCCCCGTGCCCACCATGCCTAGCCATGCTCTTTGTAGATATCTCTCTGGTGATAGCTCTCTTCCTGGACCAGGACCTCTATGTAAATTCATTTCGGCAGCTAAAGGGGAAGTAATAAGCTCTTCTTGAGTCATTTTGGGCTTTCCTTGTCTTTATCTCAAAATAGTCCATATGCCAAAGTGGCACATTCTGGGGTGATTCAATCTGAACCCCTCAGTACAAAGATAAATGGGTACTTTCTTGGGACTACAATTGAAACTTCCTTCAGAGAGCTCTCAGGAAAACTAACTCACACATAGGATGTTTTCTGTCTTCTGGGGGGTTTAGTTTGAGTATTCAGTTGCTCAATCACGAGAATTTCAGTGTTCCCAGTTTGCTGTTTGGGAATTCGGGGAGTTAAGTTCCTGGGGGGCCAGGAGTATACCACTAAGAATCTCTAAGCGTATACTTGATTGGAAACGAATTCGATTTCCACATATAGTGCAAACCAGGAATTCCTTAAAAATGAGATTACTAATCCTGTGGGAATCCTACTGAGGGCATAATGGGATTTTCCAAAGCCTTAGTTGTTTGGGGAGTTGATTCTAAACTTGCACGTCTCTTCTCCATACACATTCTCTCATCCTGTGAGTAAGTATTATGACAAATGACTCTGCTTTTCAGAGCTTATAGTAGTAGGAATCTCAAACCAAGGCAGGCTTGAAAAAAAAAGTTGCAATTGTTTACACAATATTTTGTTCTCTGAGGTACTTCTGTCAGACCCTGGTTGTGAGAACAGATTTGTCCTTTTGCTTCTCTGGAAAACAGCTAGCTGGACAGACAAAGAGGAGAAAGGAGGGTCAGTGTCCAGCTAATGAAGGCAGCATTTGTATATTGTGTAAATAATATACTTTACTACTTTACTACTTAGTAGCCATGTGGTTTGGGGTGTGAACAAAAAAGGTGCCATATACTAAACCTGACCAACTACGGGGGTCCCGCATAGCAGGCCTTACAAACTCAGTGACCAAGAGTACCTCACAGGATGGTCTGATCATAAATTCCTAACTGCACAGGCCGTAGTGGGCAGCCCTGTCCCAGGC